TGCTACAATGTGGATGAGCTCTGAAAACATTATGGTAAGTGAAAGAAGCCAGAAACAAAGGCTCAGTACTGTTTATTCCTTTTAATGTGAAATGTCCAGAATACGCAAATCCATAAAAGAAGTAGATATATGACTGCCAAGGCCTGGGCAGAGGAAGGAATGGGAAGTGACTGCTACTGGCTTTGGGATTTCTTTTGGGGTGATAAAAATGTTCCGGAATTCAATGGTGGTGATGGTTGCATAACTCTGGGAATATACTAAAAACCACTTAATTTTACACTTCAAATTGGTGGATTTTATGGTGTATAGATTATATATCAAGAAAGCTGCTGTTTAAAGGAAAAAACCTTACACTTCAAAATGGTGGATTTTATAATGTATAGATTATATAACAATAAGGCTGCTATTTAAAGGGAAAAAAACTTAAGTAAATTCACTTACTCTTGTGTCAACTCAGTATTGAATGTAAATAGATATTGCCTAAGTTGAAGGAAAGTAACACTCAATGTATCACTATCAACAAAACACCCTTCACTTTTCTTATAGTTTCTGCAAACAATTTACATAATGTTCTTGATTACAATAAAAATATTCTGCATATGGAAAAAAAAGAAGGGATGTTAACAATCACCAGGTATTGAGGGAGTGTCTAACAGATTAATAAAAACTGATAAAACAAACAGTATAGTGCGAAAGGGTAAAAATAAAAAATTTTAAGATGTGTAAGTTTAAAAAAAAAAAAATCCACCTTCCATGACCATTCTCTGAAGTCTATCTGGAATATATTGTAAACGAAGAGACAGGAAATAGCCAATGCAGGAGAGAGGAAATTCTCAAGCTAATGGTGATGGGACACTCCAGGGCCACCCTGTATAGCAGCTGCTTATAACGACCAGTCAGGACTGAAGCAGGATACAGGAAGTACAAAGAAAGTGAATTCAATAGACAACTAATGTGTTTGAACATTCTGAATGGAGTTTTATACTCCTAGAGGAAAACAACACAAATCATAGGCCAAAGTATAGAACCAAGCAAGTGACCAAAAATGATTAACTCTGGGGAAAAAAAAGTATCCAATAAAGAAAATACAGTCTCATAACACTGGCCCAACTAACGAGGGTATTAATGAAGTCACAAAAATATAATCACTAAATTATCTAAGGACACATTATGCTACAACTGAACTCTGCCAGGAGAAAGGGCAGAGCAAGGCCACTGCACAAGCTGGGGTCATGTTAGGGTTACCCAGGGATCTATACCACAGGCACCGGGCACTTGCTGGAGGAAGAGTACCTTCCCCCAATCCACACAAAAGCATGACAGGAGCTATTCCAGGCCTGGGGACAGTGAGTGTAGGTGTGTTTTCAGAGAGCCAGTCTCAATCTCCTACAATTATTGGATGTAGTCACATGCGGCATAACGACATCTCAGTTGACAAAACGGACCACATATACAACAGTGGTCCTATAAGATTATAACACTGTATTTTTACTGTACTATTTTTTTTTTTTTTTTAAAGACAGGGTCCGGCTCTGTTGCCCAGGCTGGAGGGCAGTGGCACAATTTCAGCTCATTGCAACATCCGTCTGCTGGGCTCGAGCCATCCTCCTACGACATCCACCCAAGTAGCTGGGACTACGGGCCTACACCACCACACCTAGCCAATCTTTTGCATTGTTTGGTAGAGATGGGTTTCGTCCTATTGCCCAGGCTGGTCTCAAATTCCTGGGCTCAAGGGACCTGCCCACCTTAGCCTTCCAAAGTGCTGAGATTACAGGCATGAGCCACCATGCCTGGCCCTACTGTACCTTCTCTATACTTAAATATATTTAGATATACAAATATAATTTTATTACAAGTACTAGAGTATTCAGTAGAGTGATATGCTGTATAGTTTGTAACCCAGGAGCAATAGGCTGTACTATATAGTCTAGGTGTGTACCAGGTTACACCATCTAGGTCTATGTAAGTCCACTCTACGATGCTTACACAACAATGGAATTACCTAACACATTTCTCAAAATGTATTCCCGTCATTAAGCAATGCATAACTGTAACAAAAACTGGGGGAAAAAAATAAGAAGAAAATAAAGAATAACAAAAGCAAGTTTCTTTAGAAAAAAAAAAAAGAAGGTAAATACCAGACAAAGAGCTAAAGAAATAGAAAGCTGTTACTTCTAAAGAGTGAAAATCTGGGTTGAGAATCGGCGGCATAGTAGACTGTGGTTTTTCTCACAAAAATTTTAAATTTAAATATGCATAAGTAATTAAAAGAACCTATCAGCTGGGCATGGTGGCTCATGTCTATAATCCCAGCACTCTGGGAAGGTGAGGTGGGTGGAACACGTGAGGTCAGGAGTTCCAGACCAGCCTGGTCAACATGGCAAAACCCCATCTCTACTAAAAAATTACAAAAATTAGCCAGGTGTGGTGGTATACGTCCATAATCCCAGCTACTTGGCAGGCTGAGGCAGGAGAATCGCTTGAACCTGGGAGGCAGAGGTTGCAGTTGGCCAAGATTGTGCCACTGCACTCCAGCCTTGGCAATGGAGTAAGACTGTCTCAAAAAAGAAAAGTATCAGTAAAATGTGATACAGCAACTGATTAGAAAAGTCATGATTATAGAAAGAGATGCAGAAAACATATTTGTCACAATACTCTGATTTAAGAAATTATCAAAATGTTTCCTTTAGTATACTAAGAAAAACAAAAGAATATCTGTAATTTGGGGCCGGGCGCAGTGGCTCAAGCCTGTAATCCCAGCACTGTGGGAGGCCGAGGCGGGTGGATCACGAGGTCAAGAGATTGAGACCATCCTGGTCAACACGGTGAAACCCCGTCTCTACTAAAACTACAAAAAATTAGCTGGGCATGGTGGCGCGTGCCTGTAATCCCAGCTACTCAGGAGGCTGAGGCAGGAGAATTGCCTGAACCCAGGAGGCGGAGGTTGCGGTGAGCCGAGATCGCGCCATTGCACTCCAGCCTGGGTCACAAGAGCGAAACTCCGTCTCAAAAAAAAAAAAAAAAAAAAGAATATCTGTAATTTAATATAGGTTATCTCTTAAAAACCACCTGTTAGAGGAAAAGAAGACCGTCATCACCCCTCCTATTCAGCATCAAAGGAAAAGTAGCCTAGCCAGTGCATTAAGACAAGAAACAAGAAAAAAAAGATGCATCTCACAATAGAAACAAAACCTCTCTGGTACCTAGATATAAATCTATTAAAAGATATGCAATGTCAATTTCCCATCTGTGATGCTGCACTACAGTTATGCAGGACATTACCATTGGGGGAAAGTAGGTAAAGGACATTAGGAATCTCACTGAATTAATTCTTACAGCTGTATGTCAATCTATAAATATTTCCAAATAAAAAGTAGAAACAAAAAGGTAACTCTTTATGACAACAACTTTACGGTAGAAATTAAAGACCCAAGTATACAAGCAATATATACCATGTAAACAGGTACTGAGATTAAGTATCAGCAAGATACCAAGCCTCCTAAATTAATCCATAAATTCAGCACACTTCTAATCAAAACCCAAACACATTTTTTTGGTCAAATATGATCACCTAAACCTAAACTCACAGCAAAGAAGGGTCAAGAATAGCTGAGACAATTTTGAAGAACACAGAAGTAGAAAGACACTCTAATCAATGTTTATTATAAAGCTGTGGTATTAATATGAATGAGTCTCTGGTACATGGAGATACATATATATCCCAATAATAAAAATAAAAGCCAGAACAGGTCCTTTAGAAGGGAATTTGGCATACCAAAGAAGGGAGATTTTCAAGCAGTAGGTAAACACTGGATTATTCAACTAATAATGCTGGGACAACTGACCATCATATGGAAAACAATCACGTTAGACCTTTAGGGTAGGAAAGGAGTCCCTAAGACCTCAACAGACCAAACTATAGGAGATTGTTAAGTCTGATTTCAGAATATGTAAAACTTTTATAAGACTAAAGAGGTCTACAGAAGTGAAGAATAAGAAGTGAAGAATAAAAGCTCCTCTTTGATAAGATCAGAATTAGAATATACTCAGGAAAATATCTTGCGTCACATTTTAAAATAAAAAAAACTGAGTATTTTCACGGCAACGGGCATATATGGTAAAATTATAAACATAAGCAAAGGAAAGACAATCATCACCAACTTCAAGACAGTGGTTATGTGTATGAGAAGCAAGAGTAAGTGATGGATGAGAAGGGATTTCTTAAGATGTATTCGCAATATTGTATCTATCTGTAAAATTAAGTTTGAAGTAAAGATAGCAAAATGTTAATGTCTATTAATTCTGGGTGGTGGGTATATATAGGTGTCTAATATCAATTTTCTGTATTCTTAAAATATTTCTTAATTAATGAAAATACATACAATACAGCAAAGATAGCCAAGAGAATAAAAAGTAAAAAATAGATGAGACACTAGAAGCAAGGAGGGAAGAGGTGCAAGTGAGTGGAAACTCCATAATTTATACCGCATGGGTCAACAGGTGTTGTTTATAGTTGATGAATCAGAAAACAGGAGTTAAGCATACTACAGTATCTAGAATTATGAAGGTAACCTGCAACAGATTTAAAATCAGAAAACCACCAGGTGAGTAAAAAGGAGTCTGTTGCTTTTCAAGTATTTGACCATTTGAAATATTAACACATGTGCATTAGTTTGAAAATATATTTATTTATTTATTTTCTATATATATATATATATACACACACACACACACACACACATATATATATATACATTTTTTTTTTTTTTTGGCAGGGGGAAAGGGCAAACATTAATGCTTAAATTGGAGACTTTAAAAAATTCCTCTATCATCCCTAGAATAAATTTAAAATCAGGAGCTAAAGCTGTTACTCCCGGGAATTTCTAAATGTTTTGTTTCAAATAAAAAAGGAATACTATATATAAAGCACTATATACAGCAGGTTACTACAAGAAACCCCATACAAGTAAGTACTTCAAGTAGCAAAATCAATTTACCCTGAAACGATGTTGTAGTTAAGGGCGGGATGGTCTTTCGGGACAGGAGGAACAAGAGGTTCTGGTTGCCACTCTTCAATCAGTTCTTCCTTTTCCTACAGGAGAAAAAGGGTTAAAATATAGTGCAGGGCGAGTCACTTTACATCAACTTCAGCAATATCGAAACTGTGTTGTAATGGAAAAATCGCAGTGAATACACTGCTAGAAATACCATGTCCAGTTGTGGCTAGAATAAAAACAGAATCACTTGTGAGTTTTGGGCACCACCCTCACCTCTTTTCTTATCACTCGCTAGAGGCTCTTTTCCATGTAGTTTTGTGGATGACCTGACAATTCATGAAAATTTTACTTCTACGTTCAGGATTTTTTTTTCCTTTACCATACACAACACATCAAAATTTGATCTGAGGTAGGCGTGGGTAGGATTCTTTTCTACTCTGACTCTCCTTTAAGAAGACCACAGGGGAAACTTTCACACTTCAGAAACAGTTGTGCTATTCTGCAGCAGCTCACACAACCCTCACTCATATCAACATTCAAACTCCAGTAGCTGCTCATGCTTCCCTCTAACCACCTATTTCCAAGACCGCTGTTTACTCCTAGCAAAGTATCCAAGACCATAATATGCTCTGCATTTGGGTACTGACTTTATTTCTAGATTTCCCCATATTTTGCCTACCCTGATATTTCACTCCCCTTGATTTCCTTACATTACAGAAAATGTTTTAACACACATAGTTGAGCCACCACAAATCCTTTCTGGAAAGACATAGCAACTATAATCCCATACCCAATAATGAAACAGATTTAATTTCTTACCTTGACTGTAAGATCAGATCGTTCTTGTAATTTGTAAGTCTTAGAGAAAAGAAGTCTGATTATCCAGAGTATTAGAATCCCTTCCAAAATAAGATGGTAAGCAGGAGCCTAAGAGTGAGTAAAAAACAAATAAGAAATGAAGCATACACTTCTAAAATCTGCACATAAAATTTACCACACCTGCATATACTGCCCCTCATGACTTTTAGCCTATTAATTCTTACTACTTACTTTCAAAGCTCCCTTAATTTCTATTTACTCCTTTCCCCAATTCTAATGGCAGGCAATTTCTCCTTCACATGAAAAACCCCTAATATTTTTGGCTTTTAAAACTTCTTTGGGAATAAAAATTAAAACTAAAAAAAAAATAAAATCTAACACAGAATCTCAATATTTAAAATAATATCAACTATCAGATTATTTAATTTCAGTGCTTATTTCTTTTTTGGGGTCACCATAAAAGACTACTCAAATTCTATATTCAATGTGCATAAGAATTGGGAGTAAGAAGTTTCTCTTTAGGATGAGTTTTAAAATTTGCTGATCCCCCTGAATACAATTCATTTATGAATAAATCTAAATACCCTTTTAGTTTTCTCAATAGTTAGATTCCAGCAGGCAAACATCTGCCCAAGTCACTAGTTAGAGCCCACTCCACAAATAAATCACCCTAAGAAAAGTTGAGAAACTAACCAGTGAATTAATAAAAATCACAAAAACCACTTCTTTTCCTCTCCAGGAAATGTTACATACAGTTCTCCCAAGTCTCCCTCCTGGACAATTTTGAAATATGAAGTTATACTACTTCAGTCTTCAAAATGGGAACAACATTTAACAGAAAATCCATTTCTTAAAAATATCATATATTAAAAAAGATGATTCAATTTTAGTGGTTCATTTTAGGTCAGTCTAACCTAATACTGGACATCACTTAATATATGAGGATAACAGAGAGTCACATCTGCTCCCTCTGCTATGTTTCAAGATAAAATTCCCAATATGTCTTGCAATGGAAACACCATCATTACCCCTGCCGGTAGACAGTGATATTAAGTTTTGGTAATATTAAATCATCAAAAGTAACGTGAAATTCACTTGAAATAAATGTAAGCTCTATAAGCACTGGGACTTTTGCCTGTTTGTTCACTGCACTATTACTAGCATCTAGATCTGTGTGGTCCAACATGGACAGTCACTAGTTACATGTGGCTATTTAAGTTTTAAAAATTCAGTTCCAGCTAGGCATGGTGGCTTATGCCTGTAACTCCAGCATTTTGGGAGGCTGAAGCAGGAGGACTGCTTGAGGCCAGGAGTTCAAGACCGACCTGGGCAACATAGTAAGACCTCCCTCTCAAAAAAAAAAAAAAAAAAAGATTAACTGGGTGTGGTGGTATGTGGTCCCAGCTACTGGGGAGTCTGAGGTGGGAGGATCGCTTGAGTCTGGGAGGTCAGGGCAGCAGTGAGCTGATTGCGCCACTGCACTCCACCCTGGGCGACAGAGTGAAACCCTGTCTAAAAAAAATAAAATAAGTTCCTAATGAATAACTCAGAGAAGATTCGGAAAGCTCTGAAGGACAGCGCGGGGAATCTCATAAACGAATGAACACTAAGACTGACATTCTGGTTTCATATTATCTTATGTATCTGAAGTAAGTAGCCTTTCAAAAAAACTCAACTATTCTTCCTTTAAAAATCTACAGCAGGATGCGGTGACTCACGCCTGTAATCCCAGCAATTTGGGAGGCCGAGGCGAGCGGATCACCTGAGGTCAGGAGTTTGAGACCAGTCTGACCAACATGAAGAAACCCCTTCTCTACTAAAAATACAAAATTAGCCAGGCGTGGTGGCACATGCCTCTAATTCCAGCTACTCGGTAGACTGAGGCAGGAATCGCTTGAACCCGGGAGGCGGAGGTTGTGGTGAGCTGAGATTGCACCGAGCTGAGATTGCGCCATGGTACTCTAGCTTGGACAACAAGAGTGAAACTCCATCTCAATAAATTAATAAATAAAAATAAAAATCTACTAAACTCACTGTATCTTTGTAAGACAGAAAACTGATGTACATGGAAGAATGGCAATTGATTTACAAATCCCAAATAAATTGGTTTCGACAAAAACAAACTCCAATTTATTACAATTCTATTTCCCAATTAACTGTTCATAGTTCCAAGGAACTGACTTCCTTAAGACCTTCCCAGAGGAAGGTTTTCCACTCATTTTCACCATTCTGTTTTATCGAACGTCTCACTGGTTTTTGCAGACCTGTCTCCTGCATCCTCTTACATGCGTTCTTTTCCCGAGCCTCGAGGGGACCCGGAGCATAAGAACTCAAACCAAGACCCTCGGTCTCAGCCCGGCCCGTTCCTCCCTATACTCAGCCGCTAGGACTGGAAGATCCCGGCACTCCTTCCAGCAAGAGAACCCGAGTCTTGGCGTAACAGAGCCAGTCCCGCTGAGGTCTCAGGCCATAAATCCACACACGCAGTCCCAACCTCCCCAGGCCCAGGTGTAGTCGCGGGCCGCTCACAGCGCGGAACCCACCTCGTAGAGCGCCTGTACCATCTCCACCAGCACCCATTGCTCCGTGGCGGTCGCCATAGTTAGCCGCTGGGGATTCCTTCCGGAAGGCGGGTCACAAACGCGTCCTAAAAGTGCGCGTCGCTGCTCAGTGACGTCTTCGCCTCTGCGGAGGGCGGGGCGGCGGAGCGCTGGGCACCGCCTCCTCGCACTTGCGCACTGGTTGACGGGAGGCTGGGCGGGGTCGGGTGGGAAGCAGGAAAGTTTCCCCAGGAATTGTTTACCTTACGTCCATTACGCCCCCTGCTGGATTCGGGATGGAGAGAGTAGACCCTTGCCCTTGGCTATCAGTTGGGTGCAGAGTGTTAAAATGACTGCAATACGTTTACTTTTTTTTTTTTTTTTTT